AGAGATCGGATCACACATGCCCGGAGACAACGCAGCTTCTCCATTGACTCTGGTCGCAGGCGCAAAGGCAAAGAGGCATCCAGCGTGTAGTGCCTGAAACATGACACATTACTCCTACACCATGTGGCTGTCCCTCCTGCTCCTTGTTAAACTATAATGCATTAGTCTACTGGCCAGTACTCAGCTAGTTCTCAATGCTTTACCTGCATGCATATGCATACATTTGTGAGTACCTACCCATCTCCATGTTTCAGCTACCATTCCTGCTTCTTTGCTATGTAAAACCGAATTCACATACACCTTATAGTTTTGGTTTTTGCACCCATTTTTAAATTTTAAATCCTCACTATTTCACTCTACAATAAAGCAATGGAGCAAGTCTCTAAATTATAACTTAAAAAAAAAACAAACCCACAAAAACTCATTGTTGTTAACTCAGAAAGGACTCATAGCTGACCCTTTAGCAGGTTTTCAGAAGCCATAAATCACAAAAGAGGAGATGGCTCATCTTTCTTCTGTAAAGTGGCCAGTGGATCTGAATCATTTGTCTTTGGGTTGGCAGCACAACTCCTTACTGACTATGCCACCAGAGAGCACTCTTGAAATTTTTAACAATAGAACTAATTCAGTGGCTAAAAAAAAGTTCTGTCCTAGGGGAGAGCCATCAGGCTGTCAGATGTCTCAGCAAGTTCTCTAGTCTCTACTACTGGAACATCACTTCCCATCATATCCTCACTGATGGTTTACAATCATCACTAGTCATTCATATCTTGCGCCAAAAGTGAGCCCATTGTCACCTCACTACTATAGCTCTATGTGGGGCAATATAAGAATAAAAAAACTCCATACTTCCAAGATGACTAGAAAATCCAAGGAATAACTAATTTAGTTGGACATACTAAGTGTATAGGCATCTGTAGTTTTTGAAAACTCTGGTTAAGGTAAACTTCTAGAGAAAAGTCAAAGACAGTTCTTAGAGAGACTTGCACTGCACTACTTTTTGCTGAAAGAACATACTGTGGGTGGGACCCCAACCATAAAGGGAGATGATTACCTGAATGAATTAATAATACCAAATTTATACACAAAGGGGGCTCAAGCAATCCAATGCTAGACTCATGCCTATGTAAAGAGCAGACAAAGTGAAAAGAAGTCACCATTCAGTGAGTAGCTCCAAATTACAAACAGCAATGCGATCCGCTACCCCAGTAACAACATAGTGAGCTCTCTGGGGCCGCACCTTCGATACAATCTGGTCCAAAAGGCAGCAGTGTAAGTGACGGTCCAGGCATTCTTACAGATCAGGGAAAAATTCACAATGTCCTCAGGACGGATGTAGGAAGCCAGCAAGAGCCAAATATCCATGGGATACTCTTCTCCTCCAGCCCTGTCTACATCTTCTGAAAAAGAAAACAGAACCATAACTTTAACACTGTGCTATTTGAGTATCTAATGCTCTCTAATCATTTCAGTTCTCTCAGGCAGTGTACAATAAAGAAATAATTTTACGTAGATCCAAGGAAGCCCCTTAAAATCATTATTTCCTACTTAATCAAGGTATTGGGAACTTTACTGCCCAAGTGAGTAAGTCGTGCTCTTAAATGTAAAGCCTTGAGTTAACACCTATTTACATACTATGTTAGTCTCCCAAATATCTTTGCATAGATCACATCATTTAATTCCAGTAATTCTGCAAGAGGAATAAGGAAAACAGTATTGTACCTACTTTACTAGTGAGAACAAAACAGAACCTTACCAAAGAAAAAAGAATCTGAGTTTTCTGGCTCTAAATTCCAGCTCTGCACCCCACGCCCTACCCTCAATTTCCAATGCCATCCCCAATCACAGTTTTTTCTGGTTAGCCATTTAAAAACAAAAGTGATTATAAGACAGTAGGAGCAAACTCCAAAATAAACAAAAAAACTAAGGAATTTACATTATAGTCTCATTATTTAATAATTAACTACCCATTAACCATTATTTTTCGCCTAGTTCCTTAGTTCACTGCCAATATGATCTATAACTATAGTCACATTTGGGTTCCTTAGTTCACTGCCAATATGATCTATAACTCTAGTCACATTTGGTCAACTCCTTGACAATCTATCTCTACCTCCTTCAGATATCATTAGTATTAATTAACATCATGACCCTGAGGTCTACTATCCATCTCAAGTTCAGATAAAAATTCATGCTGGAGAAGAGTACTGAATATACCATGGACTGCTAGGAGAACAAATAGGTTTGTCCTTGAGAAGGTGAAGCCGGAATGCTCCTTGGAGTCAAGGATTCTGAAGCTTCGTCTGACATACTTTGGGCATGTTGCAAGGAGAGACTGGTCCTTGGAGAGGGACATCATGTTTGGCAGAGCGAAGGGGCAGCGAAGGAGAGGAAGAACCTTGGATGAGATGGATCGATTCTGTGACTGGAGCGGTGGGAACAAGTGCATTTGAGATGGCTAGGTCAGCAAAGGATAGAACAGCATTTAGAGCTCTTATAACATAGGGTCGCTATGAGTCACAAGCGACTCGATGGCACATAACAACAACAACAACACTAATACCAGAATCTGGCCTCTGCTGAACTCAGAGCTAACTACTGATGATGATTCAAACTCATGATAACGTCACTGATGAAAGTGTACATCTAATAGGAGCCAACAGTCTCATCTTTCTCTGTGGAGTGGCTGAAGGATCCAACCCACAATCTTCCAGTTAGCATCCCAATAAATAAGCCACGCAAAGCTGGTAAAAGAAATGTCCTAAAACCAGCTTTCTCCTTTCCTCAGTTAAAACACCCAACCCTAAATCACCCTCTTAATGCTCTCTCTGCTTTCCTAGCTATCCACTTCCTTCAGCTCTATTACTCCGTCTGGTCAGATTCTTCCTAACAGAAGCCATACATATCTAGAGCAACATCTTCTTTTCTGGTTCCCAGTACTTCTTATAAGCACCAATAAGCATCCAGGCATCAGTCTACCACATTTGGGGCCCCTTTTCTCCCACATTAAATCTTCTATGAAACAGAAGACAAAATGACTATGGGAAATTCTTCCACCAAGACACACCCGAACACTATTAAAAATCTTCTATCTTTAAAAAAAAATCTTTTCTTTGGGGAAAAAATTTCAATAAATACTGAAAGATTTATTATAGAAACAATTAATAAGAAGTGTCAAAAAAGGAAAACAGAATCAGTAAAAAAATGTTTCTAAAGACTTGTTAGATGCTGTCATGTCAAATCTGACTCATAGTAACTATGAACAACAGATATGAACCCTGTCCTATCCTCACCCTTTTTGACACCAAGAGCCCACTGCAGCAGTCACTATGTCAATCCATGGGGTCAAAGGTCTTCCTCTCTTTCCCTGACCCTCCACCTTCCCAGGCATTATGTCCCTCTCCAAGGAACAGCGCCTCCTAGTAACATGCTCAAAGTATGTGAGGTGAAGTTTAATCATTGCCTCCAAGGAACATTCTAGCTGCACTTTCTCTAAAACTTTCTCTGTTCTTTTGGCAGTTGGTGGGACATTCAGTACTCTTCTCCAACACCACAATGCGAAGGCATCCTTAAGATTTTATTCTTAAGAGATAAAATTAGAAAGGACATAAAGAATTCTGATAGAATAGGTTAAGAGGAAAAGCTCTCCAAATAACAACAGATAAAATGAAGCCAAAGTATGTGAAAAACAAAATATATATATGAGACAAGACTGACATGATTATAATATTAAGAAATTGTTAGCTTTTTTAGATTTGATAATAGTTATTGTTAAGATACTTATCATTTGAGAATAATCACTAAAATAGTTACAGACAGTCTTTTAAATAATTAACATTTTTTAATGTTTTACTATCTATAAATATTTTCAACATAATCTACTATTGGATAGGAGAGTAAATAGTTAAACAAAAATGACCCTGAGTTGTGGTAACTGTGGAATCTAGGCCATGGTTCCATAGGGGTTTATTATACTGCTCTTTCTTCTTTTGTATTATGTCTAAGAGAAAAACTGAAACAAAGAAAAAAGGTATAGATGGAAATCAGTCTTATTAGAATGAGGAAACCAAACAAGGGTAAAGTAGAACAAGAAGTTAAAGATAAATTATGGTTAACAGTCTGTCAGTTACAAATTATACATCTGATAAAGGAAGGGTATCCTGCGTATATAGGAGGTCTAGTGCACACTGGTTAAAGCATTCAGCTGCTGACAGACTTGTGGTTCAAATCTATCAGATGTTCACATTGAGTAAAATGTGACTATTACAATAAAGATTATATTCTTAAAACAAGGTTCTAAATTTTCTTTTGGTGAGTAGTAACAAGAGTCTTACATCTTACAGCTCTTACAAGTATCCATCTAAGATGTAGCTATTGGTACCGCTGTTAAAAACCTAAAAAGAAGGAAAGAAAACCAAAGATCCACGAGCACAATTAGGCTAAAGGATAAATGGATCACACAAATGTCATTCTCCACTATCTTGGACCAGAACTAGATACGGCCTGGCTATCAAAGTGAAAAGGGATTATAGTAAAGGGTCCTGAGCACAGTGGAAGAATATGGAACGAAACTCAAACACAGAAAGACAAGACTAACAAAGTGTAACAGCGATGGGTAGAACCCTTGAGACTATAAGCCTTATTAACTAATTGACCTGGAACTAAATAAACTCATGTGGATCCATTGTTAGCCAAACAAGATATGCTTATACGGTACACAATAACACGTTATATGAGAGATATGTGCTCCTTTTAATAACAATCAATCATGCAAAATTAGACTTTTTCCAAGAAAAGAATTCAGGAAGAGATAGGACAGAAGGACGGAAACAATCATAAGGAAAAAGTAGTAAGAATGCTTTTAAAATGTGGGGATGGAAATTAATGTATAAAATAAAATCTGTAAGAATGACAGCACAGAAAACAAATTTATCTTTAAACTTTCACTCAAAGCACAATAATAAAGATTACTCAAAACAACTATGAGGAGAAAAAAACCAACTATGAGATATCAACTCACCCCAGTCAGAATAGCAAAATTTAACAGAACAGCAAGCAACAAATGCTGGCGAGGTTGTGGAGAAACTGGAACCCTTATATTCACTGTTGGTGCCAGTTGTCAAATGGCGTAACCACTGTGGAAAATGGTGTGGCACTTACTCAAAAAGTTGAACATAGAGATACCATTTGACCCAGCAATTCTACTACTGGGAATAGACCCTAAAGAAACTGTAACTGCCATCCAAGCAGATATATGCACATCCATGTTCATCGCAGCTTTGTTCACAGTAGCAAGGAGTTGGAAACAACCTAAGTGCCCATCAACAAACAAATGGATAAAGAAGGTATGGTATATTCACACTATGAACTACTACGCTGCACTGAAAAACAAGGAACTCATGCAGTATTATTAAAAATGGGTGAGCTGGAGGACATTATGCTGAGTAAAATATCTCAGTCACAAAAAGACAAATATTGCATGGTGCCACTGTTGTAGAAGGGGACTGACATCAGGATTGGGGTAAGACTGAGAAAAACTGGATAGATTATGTATACTGAACTGAAACAGATGAGGGAGAGAACAGTTTAAAGGCGATATATGATAGGGTATTATGATTACCACAGTGCATTCGGGGTGGGGGGATTATATACCAATGAAGAAGTTTATCTTTTGCTTTTCAAAGAGAGGAGCGAACTGGGGAGGGGGGGAGGCGGGGTAGAGAAAAAAAGTGCAACAATGAATGGAAATCCAAAATCTCTGTAAATGTTCATTAAAGTTAGTAAAATTAAAAAAAAAAAAAGGAAGATTACAACACAGAAAACCCAAGACTATTCGGCATACCAATTGACTTATTTCAACAAATAGATGCTACCCTAGATGTGCTAACTTGTGCCAAGAAACCTGGAGGACAGTCCCCTGGACAACTGACTGGAAGAGATGGATATTTGTTTCCATTCCAAAGAAAGGTCACCCAACAGTGTGTGGAAATTATCAAACAATATCATTAATATCACATTCAAGCAAGATTCTGCTGAAAATTATCCAAAAACAACTGGAGCAACATGTCAACAGAGACTTGCCAGATGCGCAGGCTGGGTTTAGAAGATGCCGTAGTACTAGGGATATTATAGCTAATGTTAGATAGATCTTGGCAGAAAGCAGAGTACCAGAGGAATACTTCATTGACTATGTAAAGGCTTTTGACTGTGTGGACCACAAAAGACTGAGGTTGACTCTGAGAAGAATGGGAATCCCAGAATATCTGATTGTGCTAATGTGAAACGTATACTTGAACCAAGAGGCAGTTGTTAGAACAGAGCAAGGAGATACTGCATGGTTCAAAATAGGGAAGGGTGTCCACCAGGCATGTATTCTGTCTCCACACCTTTTCAATCTGTATGCAGTACAGATAATCAGGGATGCTGGGCTGTACGAGGAAGAATGTGGCATTAGGATTGGGGGAAGAGTCATCAACAACCTGCGTTATGCAGATGACATAACCCTGCTTGCTGAAACTGAGGAGGACCTGAAGTGCTTGCTGAAGGTCAAGGACTGCAGCCTTCAATATGGACTGAAGCTCAACATCATGAAAACAAAGATTCTCATCACTAGGCCAATTGGCAGCATCAGTATGGATGGTGAAGGGATTGAGACTGTTAACAGTTTTAGTTTGCTTGTTTCCATAATCAACACTCTTAGTACCAGCAGCCAGGAAATCAAGAGACGAATTGCATTGGGAAAGTCAGCTATCAGAAGTTGCAGAGTACTGAAGATCAACAATATCAGAGTGGAGACTAAGGTGCACCTGATCCAGGCCATAATCTTCATAAATGCACGCTATGCATCAGAGAACTGGAAAGAGACTAGGGATGACAGAAAAAGAAGTGATACCTTTGAGCTGTGGCACTGGAGAAGAGTGTTGAATATACCATGAACTGCTAGGAGAACAAACAGGTTTGTCCTGGAGAGGGTGAAACCAGGCTGCTTCTTGGAGTCAAGGATTCTGAAGCTTCATCTGACATACTTTGGGCATGTTGCAAGGAGGGGCCAGTCCTTGGGGAGGGATATCATATTTGGGAGGGTAGAGGGACAGTGCAGGAGAGGAAGACTCTTGATTAGATGGATCAATCCAGTGATTGGGGTAATGGGAGTAGGTATTGTCAGAGATTGTGTGAGGTTGGCACGTGATAGAGCAGGGTTTAGGGCTCATGTACATAGGGTCAGTATGAGTCGCAAGTGACTCAACAGCACATAACAATTCTGCCTCTATGAGAAACACTAGGAGTTGGGGTCAATATGATGGCAAGTGTGTATGGTATCTTGATTATATAAAAAAGTTTTACCTCTGAGATTATGGTCCTTAATCACCCTTGAACCCTGGAATTAAAATCATCCTTGTGACTCAAGTCTCAGTCAAGTAACAGACAGGGCTATAGGCCGATCAGTAACACAAGAATGTGAACTTTTGAACTAACAATACAAGATCAAAAGAACAACATCTGCCCAGGCACAAAGCTCAGAAAACAGTAAGGAACAGACAAAGGCAAATGGACACAAGTAGAGAGAGGAAATGGGAATAATATTATTACAATGAAACATAAGCTGGAAGAATTGTTGAATGCAAAATAATTTGCATTGCACACTATCACTCAAGCCACACACACATACACAAAAAAACATAACCTTAAACAGATTTTTACAACTCAATAATAAAAATTAACCCAACATACAAATGAGCAAAGGATGTGAATAGATATTTCACTAAAGACAAACAAATAGGCAATAAGTACATGAAAAGATGTTCAGTGCATCAGTGGCCATAAAGGAAATGTAGCTCAAAACCACAATAGGTAGTTCAAATCCACTAGTAGCTCCCTAGGAGGAAGATGGGCAATCTCCTCGCATGCAATTTACAACCACTGAAAATCTACTGCAGGGTCAGCTATGAGTTGGTTTCAACTCAATGGGAGTAAATGATTAGCGTATATAACAGAATGGCTATGGGGACAAGGGAACAACAAAGGTGGAATATCGATATTAATCTTAGGGTCTTAGAGAATAGGATCACTAACAATAAATAGTATAATCACAAAACAATTTGTCAGTTCATTAACTTATTTAAATATATTTTAACAAATACCTGATAATCTCTGATCGGTCTAAGACCAAACATATATATCTCATTTATGTGTGTGTGTGTGTGTGTGTGTGTGTGTGTAATTACTATATTTTATACATATTTTACATATTTATATTACTCAGCAGACTATCTAAACTAGTGGGTCGTCAGAACTCTGAAGAAAGCATTAAAAATAGCTATTGTGCAAAACAACTATAGGATATCATCTCACCCCAATAAAAATAGCAAAATTTAATAGAACAGCAAACATCAAATGCTGGTGAGGTTGTGGAGAAACTGGAACTCCCACTGTTGGTGGGAGTGTAAAATGGTGCAACCATTATGGAAGGCTGTATGAAGCTTTCTCAAAAATTTGCAAATAGAAATACCATTTGACACAGCAATTCCACTACTGGGAATTTACCCTAAAGAAACCTTAACTGCCACCCAAGCAGATATACGCACACCCATGTTTACTTTCTGCTTTGTTAGCAATAGCAAAGAGCTGGAAATAACCCAAGTGCCCATCAACAAATGAATGGATAGAGAAGCTCTGGTATATTCACACAATGGAATACTATGCAGCACGAAAAAACCAGGAAGTCATGAAATATTATACAAAATGGATGACCAAGGAAGATATTATGCTGAGTGAAATATCTCTGTCACAAAAGAACAAATATTGCATAGGGCCACTGTTGTAAAACAGGACTGACATCAGGGTTGAGGAAGACAAAAAAGGAGGGGTGGAATGATGTATATTGCACTGAAACAAAAGAGGGAGAAAACTGTTTAAAATGGACATATGAATGGATATCCTTGTCATTACAGAGAAGTCCAGAGCGAAGGCTGCAGAGTGGAGCGGACTTGGGAGGAGGGATTGCATAACAATGAAAATTTTTCTTTTTGTTTTCAAGGAGAAGGGTGAACTTGGGGGGGGGGGAGGTAGGCAGAGAGAAAAGTGCAATAATGAATGACTGGAAACTCTTAAGTCTCTGTAAACTTTCATTTAAATTAATTTTTTAAAAATACACAGCTAAAAAACAAAATGGCTACTGTGGAGAACCTCCACCTAAAGAGGGTCTCATCGTTAAGCCTTAGGCACAATCTGAAATTTAATCTAAATCATAATTAGCACATTAAATGTCATTAGCTTATTTTTGTGTTTATTTGTGTAAATTAAATCTCCATTAAGATCTAAACATTACATACTTTCCTTTGTTTTACATAGTCATAGAGCAGACATTAAATAACTACAGAGAACTTTAAAGCCCATGATGTTATCTAACTTTTTCTGAAATAAAAACTAGTTACAATGTCAATCCACATATTTGGGTAAATCTTTTTTTGGTCTTATTTCTGTTTCCTTGCACAATCAGAAATCTAAGGGATTTTTGTTTTCATGTTGCCAAACGATTTTACCTAAATATACCATTATAGTAAAATCCAGAAATCTGACTTACCAATCTCCTTCTCTTTCAAATCTAGGCAAAACAAAAAAACTCTGTTTCCTACTAAGATCCTACTTTAGAATTAGGTCTTTTCCCTAACATTATGAAAAAGAGAAATGAAAATTTCCATTTAAAACCACAAACAGGGCTAATAAGCCATAAAAGAATAGTCCTATACCTTTGTGCCTCTTGCTTTTCTTTTTTCTGGTAACAGTTCTCTCATAAATACTCTCCTCCTGGGCATCCATTTCATCACTGCTGTCAATGATGTCACAGGGCTCACCGGCACCAGAAAGAGCTTCCTCTGCAGGAACCTGAGAGGCTTCCAAGCCACAAAGAGATTTTACTAGAAGAAAATAAGAGGAGAATGAGATGGCATACAGTCTTACCCAGAAATACAAACAGCTTAGCCAGGCTACCAGCATCCATCAGAAAAAAAGCAAAGTGGTAGGAGGTGGGGGAAGTCTGACAAGGTCGGCTGGAGAAAGCTGAGAATCTATCATCAAGTATAAAGGCAGAAAGGAATTTTAGCATTTTAAATACAGAAAATTGAAAAGCAATGTGCATACTGAGTCAAAAGTTGCAGAAACTGAATCCTTAAACGTGTCAACTTTAGACAATATTCCCCTATTATTAACCCTGTAAAATTAAAAGCAAAAGGTGAATTTTCTTTTCATTTACATAAATTCTGGGGAGCAATGTGTGAGATAGAGAAGACCTGGAGTCAGCCAGAGACAAAGTCTCAGAGGCATAAATGTAAAAAGCTAGAAAACAATAGCAGCAGTGAAGAAAGGAAAGGAACATTCCAAGGAAGCAAACTGAAGATTAAGTGGAACTTATCTGTGAACTGCAGGAAAGTGGTTACTATCCTAGAAAAAAAACACTGGCAGAAGTATTTTTATCCTGCTGCACAAGTACTGCTCTTGGCTAAACCGTCCATCGAATGCATGAGTAAACACCTTTATGGGCAAATCCCCCAATGATTTGCAGGAAAAGTCTCAACGATTGAGTCAGAATCTCAGCAAAGTTAAGACACTTGGTTTTGCCTTCCTAGTCGAAGGCGCCAGCCGAATGCCTACCTTCCTTCTGAACAGCGTTGGCGACGGCTTTCTTGACCCGTCCAGACTTCACGACGGCCGGATCCGAGTTGGCATAATCCGCCACGGTCACTGAAACACAGCATCAGCTCTCACGGAGGAGGCCTTTGCTTCCCAGTGTCTTCCCTACCAAGACCTCCTCCTCTCTTCAGGTCTGCAGCCCGAGACGCCCTCCCAGCCTAAACACCTCCACAACGCCGTCCAACCCTCTCCCAGCCGCTAGCCCCGAGGCTTTCAGCACCCCTGCCCCCTCGCCCACCTCGACCGGAGCACGCGTCGTGGGCCCGAAACTTGAGTCGCTTCCCTCTCTTGGGCATGGCGACCGTTTCGGAGCGAGGCCGACCTAGCGGGCCGGGGCCCCGGGCCATGTCTCACACCTGAGAGGTGGCCCCAGCACCGCCCGGCTCCGCGGTCATCCCCGCACAGGAGGCAGCTGTTCTCGCGAGAATTTAGGCAACACGTGAGTCGCGTCTTAGCTGACGCCCCTCCCCTAAGGCCAATCACTGCCTGGCCGTGCTGACGTCATCATCCGGCGCTCGGGGTAAACGAGATCTGGTTGAAGAGTTCTTTAGTGAGTTTTAGTATGTGCTGTGGATTTTCGAGCCATTTGTAATGAATCGATTGGAGTTTCAGACCCAGAACCTACACCTGTGTTGATTAAATTTATTAGAACTTGGTTGGCATTTATATCCTGGTCCCCCTAAGTCTTCCTGCCTCCACCTCTGCCTACTCCCCAGGTCCACGTAAGCACACAAATGAACTTTGTTATCTTCATGCCTGTCTCCCTTTCCCTAGACCTCTGAGGATGAAACTTTGACACTCACATTTTCTTTCCTGAGACTCTCACAGTGCAGACTAGTAAACAATATATTCAGTATAGTCTCATAAATGCCTTAGAAACAGGGAAAGGTGCACCTGTCTTAATGGGAAGGAAAAGCTTTGCAATAGGATGGTATTTCAGTTGAGATAAAGCGTGCTGGCTTGAAATTGGATGGGGCAAGTTTCTGATCTGTTATTCATAGGGTCGCAATGAGTCAGAGTCGACAATATAACAACAGCTTGCAAAGTTAGTCTAGGCCTGAATTCTAAAGTATATTTTATGTTGCACCTTAAACTGAAGTGTGAAGAAGGAGTTGTGATGAGAGGAGTTTTGTAAAATAAAATTGATAAAACTAAAGCCAAGTTATAAAAGGCCTAAAACTACAAACTACATAGTTTGGACCATACCCCAAAAGTATTGGGCAACCACTGATTGATGATTGATTTTTTAAAAAATACGCTCTACTTTTTATATTATTATTATTATTATTAACTTTTCACGAAAGTTTACAGAGACTGGGAATTTCCATTTATTCATTGTTGCACTTTTCTCCCTGCACACCCTTCCCTCCCCCCAATTCACTCTTTGAAAAGTAAAAGAAAAA